ACGGTAAGGGCGGGTGCGGGCCTGCTGTCTTGTGGGCGGTAAGAGCAGCTGCGGGCCTGCTGTCTTGTGGGCGGTAAGAGCAGCTGCGGGCCTGCTGTCCATGGGCCATTAGCCTATTTGCGTCCCTCTCTGTCCAACTGTGTCTGAGCCGGACCCTGTTAGCCGTTACGCGATGGATTAATGGCTTGCATTCCTGCTGTTGCACCCTGACCCGGCCCTCTCCAGCATCCAGACATACCTGCAGTCCACAACGCCCATCATCCAGCTGTACGAGCAGCAGGGGAAGCTGCGTACTGTGGACGCGTCTCGGAGCGTGGAGGAGGTGAGCTCCGTGCGCACAGGCCTCCCCTTCACCCACATAGGTGTCAAGGAGTGTAATTCATGTATGCACACTTCTGTCCTGCTCACTCTGTTTTTTTTTTAGGTATTCGCTGATGTGAAGAACCTTCTGGATAGAGAGAGTTAGACATCCTCCTTCCCTAACCTCAGATTCAGGCTCTACATATATTTTTTTGACTATGTGTATTTTATTGGACTGTTGTTTTTTGTTTTTTTTTACAACACACTTGCTAAGGGAGGCGCGATCTGAGGGGAGTATCGGTTCATATGCAGCTTTGTCCGTGTGCTTTTGTCTGTGGAGAGGCTGATTCAGACGAGGGCTGAGTGACTGAGAGCTTTCTTTAAGTCAAGTGCTGTAAGGTCCACCACAGGTGTCCCGCGTCCAGAGACCGGCCGTCTTTTTCTGTCTGAGCGCATTCGCTTCTCTGACTGGTTATTTAGGTCAGGAATCGCCTGGGACATCTCCAGGTACACATGACTTTCCATTTAAGGAAGTCCGGGCACGTTCTCGCTGAGTAAAAAAGGGCCTCGTGTTGTTTATCAGCATGGTGTTTTAAACACTTGGGTGTTACACAGCAGGAATTTTATTTAAAATAGCCAAGCAGAAATGAACTCTGGACTTTTAACATATTTTTTGTCAGGTAGGTTGGGCACATATTGCGAGGAAGTAAATTACTAATCTAATTATTAGTTAAACATATTATAATGCACACTGAGATGCTCATGTGTGTGACATTCAGCAATTACAAAGAGTCATCAGTCATGTGAAGTTGTGTGTCTCAGCTATTTGGGTATGCAGTACATCTTCCACTTGGCTAATGCTGAAAGGTCTGAATTTCTGCAGTGAATATGATTTCACGTGTAGAGTAATTTCAGTTCGGTGGGTCTCTGGATGCGTCACACTCGAACACACTTTCAAGAACCCTTGGAGTTCAGGCGAGTCAGGTCCTCCGTAAAGTCTGGCAAACGCTTTGCTATTTTCACGTCTTTTTCCAGTGTCACCGCTTTCCTTCTCATTGATTGGGGAGTGTATTTTTGTTCATTTATTTTTCTTTTTAAATGTGCTAAAAGCTATAGATTTTGTACCATTGCCCTGTGTGTGAGATATTAGAAAAACACATGACAAATGGACCAGTTATGAAGCACTCATTTCATTCCATTTAAGTCAGTCAGGGGAAGATGAACTTATTCAAATGTTTGAATACATGGTTTTTACCTCTAGGTGAACATGGCGTGTCTATGTTTTCATTTTTGTGTAAAGAAATGTAAGTGTAATAGGGCCCTGTCTACTCTGCCACTGCTACTTTAGTGCTCTTTTAGTAGTTTGAATCGTAAGAATGACATTGAAACATTTTCCATTTATGTGTCTTGAAATTCAGCTGATCACAATGAAAGGGCTGTAATTACCAGTGGCCACAGACCATGTGTTCTGCTATTGGGACAGAAAACGCTTATTGCTGGTTGACCTCCAGCAGGGGGCAGCGTTTGGGTTTCAGTGCATCAGCTGCTCAACAGCTGAGCCTGACGGGGTTTGTCTGTCTGATACAAGCGTATCAATAGCTGATTCTACTCCCTTAGGTATTTCACTTTAGTGTGTGAATGTAGCCAACTTTACATTTCATTTCAGGTTTACTTTAAAGTAAATAGTATTAAAAAAAAATTGGTTACTACCAAATCTCTGTAATTAGGTAGTCAAAAGAGTGTTGTCACTATAGTTGGCTCTGTCTTCAGTACTTAGAATTAAGTATCGTATTTCTGTCTGCATCAATAAATAGTTACTTGAATACTATGGCTATGAATACAGCTATACAACTGTGCAAACAAGATAAAGGTTGTTAGCAGTGAGAAGGTACTCGGCGAACGGAAATGTTCTTGGCCCAGTCGGTAACTCAAAGGAAAAGAGAATTATGAGAAGAGATTTGGGGAAAAGCAGGATCGTTCAGCTATTTCCTGTGATCTGCTGCGTGCGGAAGGGAACCTCTGCTACGATTCTTTTTAAACAATGTTTTCTCTGTTGTTCGGTGCTCCATTTGCAGTCTCTTGCTTTTCCTGTACTCTCGCTGCGTCCAGTCCTGTATGACAAAGCGGGTGGTCTCTGGAGAACTGTAAATCATAAAGCATTTACATTGTCATGTTTTATGCGCTGCCATGCTAAATTAGACAGATGTGAAATTGGTGTCACGCGATAGATCTGAGCTGTGATTATGACATTTTTTTTTTGTGGTGTTGGAGGTGTAATGTATCGATAAAATGGCTGAAAAACTGCCTAAATGTGTTTATTTTGAATAAAACCTTGGTCCAATCACTTTTAGTTCTGGTTATACATTTTTGCAGCTCTAGGGGGCGCTGTTATTAGGACCTTGGTTCTGGTTTTGTGGGGAGAGTTTTTCTGCGTATCTGAAGAGGGACTTAGCCTGTTTTTTTGTCTGAAATGTCCCATCTTGTGTGCTGTAGGTACCCGCCTTCCTAAGTAGTCGCGTCGTAATGTAGGGAGACCCCACCTGTCTGAGCCGGGCCCCGGCTGAGCCAGACGGAGGGGGCTGGCAGGGTGGGGGCGAGGTGGCTTATCCATCCACCTTTCTTGTCTGGTCACTCACTCGGTGAGTGTGGAGAGGATTTAACTGCAGGTGAGTGAGGCAGAGACACTGGGGCTCGTCTCCGTCCGGCTCCCTGCTCATCTCGGCGTTTGCCTCCTAATGGAACAATGAAATGAGCCAGTAATCCCCACGCAGGGCTGGGCAAACACCCCCAGCACATTCTGCCGCTTCCTTTCAGGCGGTGGCTGCATTCCTCTCGTGGTTTCATAAGGGTACACATGTGCGTCTGTGTTCCTTATGAATTAATACTCTGATATAAGTACTGTTATTTAAGTGCAAACATAGACTAGCATAGAACTGGTTTAGAAGGAACATCAATATACTCTGTAGCACACTAATGTTACTTGTATCATTCACAGCAGCAGACATCTTGATAAAATCTTTATTGTTACAAAGAGGGTCTAATTGATTTCGCCGTGACTTTTAAACAGGTTTTAACTACAGTGTAATTGAGACAACTGGAGCAGTAAGTCTAAGTTAACTAGTGGCAGATGAAAACACGGGGGGGGGGGGGGGGGGACTTGATGAATGTTTGATACTGTAATGCTGAACCAATGAAAAATGTGGAATTCAGATGGAGCGATAACCAGGGAACTGGAGATAAGTAATTAATCATGCAGAAAGTGAAACCATTAAAAATGAACTGAACTGAAACTGATCCAGAGCCCCAGATGGAAGCCTTTCTGATAAAATTGGAACAAGTACCTGGTTTGTTATGAAATACAATCATGTGGTTCTGAATTTAGATGACTGTTCTGCTGTAAGTACAGTTCCATTAAATAACACATTCAGCTAATAGGCAAATATGGTGGCTTCACATAAAATGCTGGACGGGGTGTATTTGGGATGCGGCTTTGTGTTTATGGCACAAAAAACCTGGGTGCTTTTAATCCAGTGTCGTCCTTCCTTTTTGAGTGAGACTTTGTAACCCCTCTGAAGGTGACCTGGATGGCGATGACCTGTCTGCAGACACGGGCAGAAGGTGAGTGGAATCAGTGGTGTAATCATCACGTCTGCACGTGAGGCCTGCTCGCTTTTGACCTTTAGGCTTTAATGAAGTTTCACAGAGATAAAGGTTGCGCACTAGAGTCTAGCCCTCAGCCTGTGTGTGTGTGTGTGTGTGTGTGTGTTAGAGTGGGGGTATTGTGTCTCCCTGTGTGTCAGGGCCTCTCTCTCAGTGCAGTAAAAGACAGGAACAGGTGTGTGTGTGTGTGTGTGTGTATGTGTGCGATTCACTTTTATCAACACCGGGACTCATCATCCAGACAATCTACAGCATGATTAAGAAGAACACGGTGCTCTATAATAACAGTGATGATTGGGGCTGAAACATGGAGGGATCTGTCGGGCAGTACGGAGGTTAGGGCTGCAATGCTGGCAGGGTGGAAAAACAGAAACGTATGTTAAAGACAAAAGATCAATGTGTCGAGAGTGGTGGAGCGAGATTTGATGCGGGGTTGCTTGAAAGGGGCCGGGTGCTTCCTGGTGAAAGATGGAGGTACGTGGGAGGAGGCCTAGGGTAGTGTGAGGGTGAAAGAGCCTCTTGTCTCTCCGTACTTCACGTTGTCCACCGGCTGATGTCCCCTGGACTGGTTTACGTCACCTATCATACCCCCCCCCGTTGCCTCTCGACTGATTTGCTTGTGAAATAGCGCGAATTACACTCGTGATAAAGGTTCCGAAGTAGCTGAGGTTTTCCACAGGGAAACGTACTTTGTGTTGGTGTCGGATAAAAACTCCCTTTCGATAAATTCCTCCTCTGGCCCAGTCGCACCTGCTTGTCCCGCCTGGGACACAAAATCCACCAGGAACATTCGGCTAGACGCGACACATCTTAGGAATTCGCGCCTCCATCCTGGACAATGACCAGAAATGTAGCCGGTCTTGACCAGCAGACGCAACAATGGCAGCGAGCTGAGGCTGGCAGGGAGGTAGGAACGGAAAAACCGGTCCCCCCCTCACCAGGTTACCTGTCCCCTCCCCCCACGCCTCCCTGCCTCCACTCTTTGGGAATGTGTAGGACTTACGGCTGGCTGAGTAGAGGGACACTTGTTTGCGTTTCCTTAGGCAGGTAAGTGACACACCCAGGAGGCCTAAATCCAGAGCACAGGGAGGAGGGACTTGAGTCTGGATTCTTCATGCATTAAGTTATTAGAGACACCATTGTTAGCCTCCCTGGTTTAGCAATGTGTATTAGCATCATGTTTACCGTGCTTTGGAGGTTCTTCCTCACCTCCTTGGAAAGTCTGCCTTCCTCTGCTGCCTCGGCGAGGCGCTGAGTCTGGCTGCCCAAGCGTTCGTGTGATGCTGCATGCTGTGCAGTGTTTCCATAAAAATGATCATTCTCACTCCATCTGCTGCTTTCTCCATTTTCGACCATGAAATTTACAGTACAGTGCCCACAGAAGGTCTTTTGGGACGCTTGCTTAATTCTGTAAAAATATTTCAAATTTACTGGTTTCATAACAAAAGTTACCATTGAAAAGCAATTTTACAGCTAATTGCAATCATAGTCACTGGCTCCCAAAGGGATACTAAACACAGTTCTTTGTGATTCCTGATTTGTCCCAAACACAGTTATACAAGTACAATGTGTAATGAAATGTACCCTGAATAGGACAAGCGGTTTCAGAAAATGGATGGATGGATAATTGGGGGGGGTGCTCTGTGGGTTGGGACTCAGAAGGTTGCTGGTTCAAATCCCTGGTTTGGCAGAGTGATCTCACCACTGGGCCCTTCAACAAGGCCCTTAACCCTAATTGCTCCAGTGACTGACTGATGATACTGTCTTCCATGAGGTGCCTCCTGGGATGCTTTCCCAGCCGTCCTGAAGGAGGTCCCAAATGTGCTGAGCTCTCATTGGCTGCTTTTCCTTCACTCTCTGGTCAAACTCCCCCAAAGCAATTTCTACTGTTTAGGTCAGGTGACCAGGTCATGTGACATGATCACTTTCCTTTGTAGAAGGCTTGTCATGTCCAAACATTTGACTGGCGCTGTATGCCTGAATACCCCGTGGCGGTCTGGCACCCCATCCAGGGTGTCCCCAGCCTTGTGCCCTGTGTTCACGATAAACCTGTGCTGGATAAGCACTTGGGTGGTGGATGGATGAAGCTACACTGGTCATTATCTCTGTGTTTCTTTATTCACTATAACAGAGTTTGGAAAAGTCAATAGTAAATGTCACCCATCTTTTCTCAATTTAGTCTATATAGGAATTTAATATTTCACTCAATCCAACTACGTCACAAAAAAGTATAGTGTTTATTTAGTTATCCTTTCAATACATTTTGCTGACAAAAAACCATGTGATAAAAGTTCATTGTATTAACCAATGGTATGCAGTCTTCTTATGTAATTGTGTAAGCACTTTTATTTTAGACAGATAAGTTAGATTATTTTGAGATGTTCAATATTAAACCTACAGTGTTATATAATTAAATACGAAATGGCACCTAATGGCAGCCATTTTACTCTGAGTACATTCTGTGGATAAATATTATTGTCTGGCACATGTGTTGGTGGGAGGCTTGAAAAGGCACCGGGCCTGAGGCTATAAGATCCAGCTGCATCTGAGGACAGCAGCATCCAGTCCTGGAACGTTTGTGACAGTGTGTCAGGGGAATCCCTGCGCTGTGAGGTCATTCGGGGAAGCCGTGCATCAGAGCACATTCACAGGGTGAGGAGGGTCAGTCAGCAGGCAGGGGGCGCTCTCACTTAGTGACATGGCGGAAAGAGCTCGGACGACGGCCGGAGACGCCATGTTCACCGCGCCTGCCTGACTGCAGTGGCTGGAGAAGTCGCTCTCAGTCCCAGAGATGTCGCGCAATAACGGCGTTCCTGCTTCATTTGGAGGGATGAGTCTGCCATTATGTCAGTGTTCCAACCTTTGCTGATCAGCCTCTGGCCATTTTCCATTAGTATTAGTAACAGAAATATAAGGTAATACTTTACTGAAGGCCGTGTTTATAGTGACTTATAAACATTTCCATAATGCATTCATAAAGCATGGCTGTAAATATATATCAAATAGCATAACATTATATCCATGTTTATAATGCATTATGAATGCATTATTATTTGTTATGAATGTGTTTATAATTGACTAAAAAACATGTAACTAAAAACAAGTGAAATGTTACAAAATATAATAAACCTTAAAGCAGAGGTAAGTTGCACAGTATTATAAAAACGTCCAGATGGGTGTGGCGTGGGGGGGTTAGGGTTAGGGTTGGGGGGGGGGGGGGCGATACCTGCCTGTTCCCCACCTGCCTGCCCCCCATCTGAGTATCTTACAGAGCTCCAGAGGCAGCTACCCTTGGTGAAAACTGTCAGTTCCTGGAGTGTCTCTGTCAAATGAGGCAGGCAGGTTTAAAATTCCGGGACCTTCTGAGCCTGAGGAGCACGTCCAAGGAAAAACACCCAAGATAAACTGCTGAGGCCTGGACCCTCACATGTGAAGCTGCAAAACCCCAGCACTGTGCAAATATCTCTGACAGAGAGTTCTTACCGGATCATAATTTCGGTGATTTGGGAGGGGGGGGGTAGCCAGTATGACACGTTCGGCATATTTGTCCAGCCATTTCCCCAACCACAAAAAAGCTGTGGCCTACACAAAATAAACCAGACACTCTCTGCGAGTTCTGAGAGACCATAATGCCTGACTTGTGAAGAAGTGGGTTTTACGGGTGATGGGTTTTAAGCGAGTCATGTATGGGGGGGTGGGCTTGTGTGATTTGTGAGAGTTTGTGAGATGTGGTTGTAATCAAATGTATCCTAAACAATGTACATACAGTGTATATATGACATAGACCTTGCATAGTACACAGATAGCATTATTTGCACATCTTTCCATTTACACATTTAGCAGCCACTTTTGTTCAGAGTGATGTGCAAGTGAAGCAAATAGCACATTACAGATGTTTATGCTGTTAAGGAGTCAACTGGGCATCAAGGAGACAACTGGGCAGTGCGGTTAGGCTGAGCTTCCAGTGAATGTCCACGTGTCAGCAGGATTGTGGCAGGAGCTACACGACTTTAACAAAGGATTCTTTTAGGATTCTTGCTGGAGTTTTTGTGCTTGTGGGTGTGTTTGTGTGAACAGTAACACGGCAGGCACAAGTATGTATGCATAAGTATGCTTAAGTGTGTGTGTGTGTGTTGGGGGGGGGGGAGTCAAATGTCCCCACAATGTGATAAAAACCTGTTATCTTGATGTTTCCGGCCCCTTCAAGGATAAACTCAATTTTTTAAAAAAATCTGTGGCTGCAATCTTATGACTAAGGTTAGGGCTGGGTATGGGTTAAGGTTTTCATACTTAGCATTAGCATTTTTCCCATTGAAATGAATGAGCGGTCCTCACAAAGATATGATTACAGGTCTGTGTGTGTGTGTGTGTGTGTGTGAGTGAGAGTGAGAGAGAGAGACCGGGCTGTGGCCGCCTCGGCGGGGCAGTGTAGCGTGCTGGCCAGGGCAGCGCGGAGCCAGTGGGCCCCAGAGGGCCCCAGAGGGCCCGACCCTCACATAATCCCGTTTTTTCAGGAGCCCTGGCCCGTACTTGATGAGCTTGAGTAAGACAGGGTGCAGCGCTCACTCTCGTGCCTTTCTCTCTCTTACTTTCCCTCGCTCTTTCATTCCCCCGCTTTTTCTCATGGCTCCCCCCACCCCACAGTCCACCCACCTCCCCCCACCCTGGATCCGCTATGCGAATGAATGGCTCCCAAGTGTTTACTCAGCAACTCTCTCTGTCTCTCTCGTTCTCGCTCTCTCAGCCCCGAGAAAGAAGCAGCCGGGTGTGAAGATGGAAAACTGAGAGAGAACGAAAGAGAAAGAAAAGTTCCAGCACTTTTAACTGTGCGGGGAGTAACGCAGCACCTCGTGTCCATCCACCCTCCGTAAGTCCTCATGCATTACAGAGTCACAGACAGTCATACTGGGAAGCCCAGGGCACAAGGCAGAAGAGGTGAAACGTACTGGGCGGGATGTCAGTCTATTACAGGTCAGATACACACACACACACGTCGGGTAAACATATCCTTATGGGGACCGCTCATTCACTTCTATGGGAAAAATGCTAACGCTAACTATGACAACCTTAACCCCCACCCAGCCCTAACCATAACCATAAGTAACCAAGCAAAATACAAGAGTTTTTGCATTTTTAGTTTTTTCATTGCAGTCACAGATATTTATTAAGTTGAGTTTTCCCATAAGTGAAAAAAACTTACAATTATTACAATTGTTGCAGTTTTATTATAATAAATGCTTCATATACAAACTTTAATAAATTTCAATTTGAAGATGTTATTATGACTGAAGCTTGTGTGAAGCTTAACTCTGACATTTTTATACCTCAGACATAAGAAAAATGAAGACGGCTTGATTCATAATTATCCTGCACTATAAGGTACAATTTTATACAGTATGATACAACTTAATGCATCTGTTAACACCCAAAAAGCATTCTATGTCGTGTTATGAACTTTTTGGGCAGTTCAATCCAAATTCTTCATCTCCTCATATAAGCTTTGTAACAAGAAAAATATATATATTTAACTTTGTAAAGTAATGATATCTATCCATCTGTTTTCTGAATCTGCTTATCCCATTGAAGGTTGTGGGGTCCAGAGACCTACGGGTGAAAGGCAGGGAATAGCCTGGGACTGGGGGAGAAGGCTGCAGTACCCAGAGAGAACATGCTAACTACACATATGGACCCTGGTGGAGACTCAACCCCTGGTCCTACAGGTATGAGACAACCACACTGACCACTGCACCACCTAACCAGCTTAATCCCCCATAATAGTATCCATACAGCTGAATATCAGTTAGAATGTGACCATTTAAATTCATACATTCAGTACATATGAACAATACTGTGTAAAGATCTTAGGCGACATTCCAATGATCTTCATGTTGGTGTAAAGCTATATTGTGTCTGTCAAAGTATATCAGCCTAACCATTTAAAAACTCTCCTTAAGTCACTGCAGTGTTTGCAGCCACCATCCATCACACCCCTGCATTTTTTGACTCGACCATTAACACACCATGTTCGGCTAATCAATACCTCATAGTCATTTAACAGATTAAATTAATCCCTTAATTAATTAGCCGTGCTGATGGTGTATTTTGACAGATGCGTGAAAGGGCTGGGGTCGCCCCTGAGGAGGGGTTTGGGAATCTGAGTGGCATTTATCTAGCCGTCCAAGGAGATATCAGTTTGGAGAACGGGGGAAATACTTATTTTTATTGTTACTTTTCATTTGTATATATTCTAATGCTAAATGGTGTGTTTTTCCTGAGCATATATACACTCAGTACCCAGATAAATAGCTTTAAACATTTTCTTTTTCTGACTAAATCTTTTGCACAGTACTGTATACATACTGAATTGCTACAGTAAAATCAAATTTGAATTGTAATACTATATGGTGTGCAGGGCTGAGAAGCCACACTCACAGCACAGGTAAAAGCATAATGCAGAGTGACTTACTGAGTTGGGAGGTGCGTGCCTGGGGGATTGGGGGGGTGGGGGGGGTGGAGGATTACTGTGGGGCCACAGCCCCCCAGGGGCTGTACGGCTGCTTCCTGGCCACAGCCCCTGTTTGTCCCGCCTGACCTGGCAGAGCAGGGGGGCAGATCCCGCACCGATACACCCTCGATCCCACGCCTGTCCGAAGCTGTTATCCACTGAGTGTGAGCAGCTTGCTGGGCTTAGTGCGTCTGACCCGGCTGGGGGGGCCAGACGAGGGGGGGTTAGATAGGGTGCTGTGGCCGCTTAGCTGGAATGGTGCCCCAAGCGAGACCTTCATGGTTTCTGAGTGCATGGTTCATTTATCCGTGGGTCTGTGGGAGAGATTAGCTCTGGTTTGATCGGGTTCTGCTCTGAAGGCATCCCCAGCTTCCCAGTCCACTTCCCTTATTCCCTTATTTTACAACACAATGCCAGTATGATCTCTGCTTAATTTGTAAATAATGTTTTATTTACTGCTGCAGTCTTCTGTTAGGTGTCTGAGGATGTGAGTTTTTCTCCTCTGAGGAGGTTCATTCAGGTCATCTGGTGTGGATCTGAGATCCTGACACAGGCCTGGCATTACCAGTGTAATTCCAGTTAAACACACTGTGAAATACTGTATGGAATTTTGCCCATTTGTATGTATAATATTTCCACATGCCAACTAAACTGATCACTGTAGTTGCATCTATAAGACACAAAATGCACTTATTGAACTATATTTTGAAGCCATAATTTTGAAGCACTGTTGCTTATTTTTCTTTCACAGTGTAGGGATTGGTGTGGAAATCCAGCCTTGAGACAGTTATGGGGGAGATGCTCAAGTAGCAAGGGGTAAATGCAGGCGGGTGGAGTGGGTGGTTAAGGCTGAAACACCTGCAAATATATACTTATATATATATATGCTGCAAATATTTTAGCTGTAATGTTATTAACACTTAAGCACTTATGTAAGTCGCTCTGGCTAAGGGCGTCTGCCAAATGCTGTAAATGTAAATGTAAATGTAACACTGGAACAACAATCCGATATTCATAATCGGAAAATATCGAAATCAATAATTCCCATTATTAGAGTATTTACGGTAAGTCCCTGAGGCAGAACCACATAAGAAGCCCAGGAGGTTTCTGAGAGGACTGGGCCCGAAAGCCTGTTCGCGTAACCCTAAGTTAGATAACCCCTGTTCATCTTTAAGCCTATTGTTCCGTTCCTTTCCTAAGTTATCTTCGCTAATTTAAGCACTCAGTGTTGCCCTGAAATCCTTCAAATAGCCTATCTATACATGCATCTTAAAGCAGGGTAGCGTGATCTTAAATATATTTTAAACATTATTTATATTTTTTCATGAACATTACTAATTTAAAAATTATTAATGCATTTACAATGCATGCACCAGAATTCATTTATACAATATACATTTTGACACATTATTGAAATATTAAAGCAGATATTCACATTGTCTAGATTAATAAGGCGATAATACTCAATAAAATGCTTCAGAAGATTTAATATATTCACTACAAATTATACACATACATGCATAGTAGAATTTTTAACGATAAACAAGTACTTGGGCATCAGAAGGCAGGCCTGCTGCCAAGCAAGGGGTCGGGCTCGCCTACTGCCGCCGTCGTCACTGAAGGTCGGCCTTATAAGAGCGCGCATCGCTCACACACCTGGCACAGGACACAGAGAGGGACAGAAACTAGACACCGGGGGCTGGACTGAGAGATAGGTTAGAGTAAGCGAGTAAACACATGGGCATCGTTCGGTATACTTAGTATTTTAAGGAAAAAAAATAAGCTGCGCAAGGAAAAACAACAACAACGTGATTTTTATGAATCTTGCAAACTTCTCTTACTACTCGGACATGTGCAACATGACGGCAGAGTCAGAGCACTCACCAGCAGAGGCAGCGAGTCCCTTAGGGGTGTCCCCTAACCTCAGCATGGAGTCCCCAGTGGCCCCGCCACCAATTCTGCTTCAGACTCGGGCCAAAGACGGAGTACTGATCAAGTCTGAGCCTGCGGGGTGCAGTCCCAACACGGACCGAGAAGAAGGGGTCTCTCTGAGTCACGCTGACGACCACTTACCACCTTCGGGAGGCCGGCGCAGGAAAAGACCGGTGCAGCGCGGGAAGCCCCCTTACAGCTACATCGCCCTCATAGCCATGGCTATCGCCAACTCCCCCGAAAGAAAGCTCACTCTGGGGGGCATCTATAAATTTATCATGGAGCGCTTCCCTTTCTATCGGGAGAACTCAAAGAAATGGCAAAACTCGATTCGCCACAATTTAACTCTCAATGACTGTTTTGTCAAAATCCCACGGGAACCCGGTAGACCGGGGAAGGGCAACTACTGGACCCTGGATCCTGCCGCTGAAGACATGTTTGACAACGGGAGTTTTCTACGCAGGAGAAAAAGATTCAAGCGCACCGATGTGAGCACCTACCCGGGGTACGTGCAGAACTCAAGCGCATTCACCCCTACACCCGTGGGGCGAACGGCGTACGCCAGCACGCTGTATCCCGGAATGAGCACCAGCTACGGTTCGCAGAACCCGGCAATGCTGCACCATTACCCAGCCCCGGCTGGGGTCACCCAAGGACAGCACAGAATGTTCAGCATTGACAACATCATCAGTCATCAAACAATAATGCAGAGCGGGCCAGAAGGAGAAATCAGCCCTCAAGCATTGGCCTTGGGCGGCGGAGAGCTGGGTACGATGCCCACCAGTTGCTCAGTCAGCGGCCCCGACCCTCCGTCATGCTTCCAGTCACAGACTGTAAACCCCAACGCAACTGTGCTGACTAGAGGCAACGGCGGCATGTCTTCAAACCTTGCGACCACATACTCATCATATCCATCATCCGCCTCTCCTCCTCATCTAGCGACGATGGCTCAGGGCAGCTTCTCCCAGGGCGGCCCCCAGGTGTACTACGCAGGGAACAGACTCTCTCTGCCGGCTGTGCGCACTGGCTCTTGCGCTGAACACACAGAACAGTTGCTGGGGCTTCCCGGTACCACCATGAACTCCTACAACACTTACATGCGACCGGCGAGCTTCGCGTCCGGACTTGAGCGATATATGTAGGAACAAGTCAGCTTTTATAGACTCACCGTAGAAGCCTCATCTTTCGCGTTTTCGACGATACTGATAAACCGGTGAAATCCGATAATTCTCCAATTACTATCATACTATCATTTACTGACGTAAAAAAATCCCCCAATGTCATTTAATGTCATCTAAAATTTACTTGTTATAAATTTTATATCAAGTAAATTGATATCTCAAGCATGTTTTCTTTCAAATAAGGTATTTTAATTCAGTACTTTCACTGTATTTATCTAAAGAGGAAATTGTAGCCTTGCAAGTTAGAAGCAAACATGTACAACTGAATGATTTTAAAATATCAGGCCTATAATTGGTTCATTGTTGTTAAACGAGCTGCCGTCAAGCAGGCCTATTTTCATGGAACCCCAGAATTTTATAAACGTTATTTCACACGAACTGCAAACAGATGTGTTGGAAACGTTTGTCATCTAAACTTAACACGCATGAAAACGTTTGTATAGATTGTTTTAATTTTGTTCTCTTTTTTTAATTATATGTTATAGAAAGCAATAAACGCCTTGCAAAACTGCAGTCCGGTATTATAACAATGAATCTCCATCATCGTTTTTTCCACAAAAGACATATCCATGTTCGAGCTGCTTTTTGCTGGTCAGGGCTGTGAGACGCCAGACAGCAGGCTACCCCCATGCGGTCCAGGCTTGGGGTGAACCCGGAAAGGCCTTACCAAAAGATCCTAAAATAAAACAAATAACAGCCAATGATCATAATCATAGTTATACTTATGTAGTCCTTTGTTAAATTTAAATTACAATTTCAACGACACTTACAAAAAACGCCAACAAAACTATCCAAATGTTACAATTAAATAGCTGTTATTGGAAATTACACTTAAAATATCCTAATGTCACACTTAATTCACGTTATTTAAAGTCTTTCGAGTGTATAATTTTGCTGACATTGTAAATAAGTTCTAATGGCAGGAATCACTACACATATCCAGACTATAGTGAGAAGAAAATAGTGAGGATACGTTTCAGGTTGGGTTACATTACTGCCATATGCGTACAGCTACGGTGAAAAATACGAATCATTTGTTTTTAGACATAAAACATCTCTTACATAAGACCTAAATGAAAAATAACAACTATCGACCAAGTGCACAAAACTAACTTTCGAAACATAAAGAACACATTAACAAATCAATGCGATACAATCCGATCACGTGAAAATGCGATGCACAATAATCGACATTATGCACATTCTGAAATCCATTCCTTTGTGCCGAGATTAACTGAATCGACATGTTAGAACGCGGTACGAACTATGCGGAGTTTATTTGATTCAATCGCTATGTATGTAACAAATTTCATGGAAAAATACACTGAAAACATGATTCTGCAAACGTCGATCCCTTTCTTAGACAATGCACATAAAGGATGACATGCCACCAGTGTCAGTCAGTGCGCCTTAACGCAGCTGCAGGCCTTTCACGGCGAGAAGGGGTCACTGGGACCGCAGAATTACAGAATCAAACCCTGCACATTACTTAAATTCCAATAACAATATTATAACCCATCCTAACGTGTATTACACCGAGGTGCATTCTGGGATTTCCGTCTATAATACGTGTACTGTGATCATAAGATAAGATACCAGCAGGCAGCGTGACCCTCGTCTGGCGAGGATTTCTCCCGTCGAAAAGGTTAGACCGACACCTGGTGGTGTGGTGTGTTCCTTCACAATCGCTTGATTTTTGTTGTTTTTTGCTGATTCCTTTTTTCGTCGCTAGATGTCAGACGAAACTTTAAAATGGCTTTTATTTGGCGTAACCGTTTCAATTTGTCACCCACTGTAACGAATTTGAATAGATTTGTTTTGAAGGAAAATTAGAAGATTTGAATTTTTGACCGTAATGTTTGCGTATTTTAAATCTAATCCAAATAAAACATAATTTACCTAAAATATTAGCCAGAGATGTAGTGTGAGACGTAATGTTCGCGTCTTTTCATGGAAAAAAAATCATAAAATCTCATGGCCAATGAGGCAAAGCAATTACATCGTCCAGTTTATTTAAAGCAAATCTAAATATTTTACTCTTCTCTGCACCTATATCATATTTCGTTTCAAAAAGCAGAAATATAGCACAGAAAATAAGACTCAAATATGACTATTCGAAGGTGTAGCAGCAAATAGGCTATTTGAAAACAAGAAATGATTTTATAAAATATTGAATTGTTTTATATCTCAGAGTGACACCTTAGCAGTAAATACTGTTTAGCTTTAAAAAGCATAGTGTTCCGAGGCTCAGCGAAAAGTGAATTTTGATGTAAAAAATCTGCACTACTAGTTATATATCGTTACATTTTGACCAAAGTGGCCTCTAACAGTCTTACGTACGGTGCACCTTCTGAGAACATTGGGTATCTTGTGCGGATAATATATGTAATACAATGTTCTACTTCTTCTCGAAACGGTCAGTTTGCTTTGTTTAGAAGTCCGCTCCCTGGTAGGCATCAGCCATTGAGAATAATGTAATATCTTATCAATGGCTTAGATTGAATAATCGCGTTTTTAACTATTTATCAGTTACCAAACAAACACATAGCCTACAATATTTGCATTCGCAATGCGGACTAAGCATATATTCTACATTTATGCTCTACATTCATAAATTCTGAGCCATTCTCAAATCCCCAGGCCAGAACATGTATCCTCTTATTTGCATACTTCTGGAATTATCCTAAATGGCGATTTTAATTTTGACTACAGCCAATAATCTCCGTGGAAGCTCAGCGTTAATGTTCTAAATGTTTTTTTTTTTTATATCGTTTTTATGCGCGTAGCATAGAAAGCTAATCACGACCCGCGGTGACCTGGCCATCCTCCTGGACACCTGTTCGGGTCCCCGTCTAAACCATGAAAGTTATGTAGCCGCGTCCGCCAAACATTCCGTGGGAGCACTGGCACTAGAAAATGGGTTAGTAACAGAAATTTAATTATGTGATTGTGGAAAGCTGTTTTTGTCGGCTGTTTTTAATATCGTTTTTAACATTATTATTATTATTATTATTATGGCATCAAGAATCGAATAGTTATAGTTGAACTAAAATTGATGTTTTCTTAAACCATTGGATATATAATAGACCACCAAAATTAACCCAATTTTGAAATCTAAACAATTAGAACTGATGGGGAAAACGGAGGTGTGGGATTAAACAACAACGACGACAATAATAATAATAATAATTCACCTGTGTATAACTTTCCATTAAAGGTTCGGTTAATGTATAAGAAGCAGAAACACATAATGTACATGATGTACAAACGCTTGAGTTGGGCTATAAAACACGGTACATGGTACAACTGTAGAAGTCTCACTGAACAGAGAGTTCAGATTGTCGAGATTTTAGATACGCTATGTTATGTTCTAACACCAACGGGAGCCTGTATCTATCATTATCATTGTCTGTGCATCTTTTATACAAATTAAATACATGCGGAAATTACGGGACAACACAAGTTCAATCTTGACTTACAACACATACATTTTGTGATTACATTTTTACAGATTTACTTCATGTTATAAAGAAATTTCCGGTACAGCAAATAACTTAGTTGCTGTTTTCTCTAGAGAAGATATCATGAAAGTCTCGCGTCAGATTCGATCAGCCTACACATTAGAAGTGCAACTTCTTACACGTTCTTATAGTGTCTAATTCAAACAAAATCCAATAATGAAAGGAGCTAAACCGTATTGTCAAATGCTTCGAGAATTCATGCAATAAATGCGACTACATTAATCGGAGAATAAGAGTCAGGTGAATATATAACGATGAAAAGGAATAACAAAATCAGAGACAACGCGCGCGCGCACACACCCGCCCAGACACAAGCGCACACACCAACAATTGTTTGCTATTCACAGGGCTTTCTCAGACCTACATTATTCACTCAGTAGTGTATTAGCCGGAACACAGTATGTAGTTAGAATCTGAAACTAAATTTTTTTCCTTCTTTATTAGCAGGAAACTGTAATATTTCATTGGTTAACAAACATGTAGATCTACATACACACATACATATACACCGACTAACATTAAACAGGTTGATTAAAATATGTGGGAAAAAATAGGCGTATTTTATTCATATGTGAAAGCCTTTCAGACGATGCTGTCTCTGCCGTAGAACAAAGAAGCGTATTTACGGCATGCAGGTTGACAACGTATATGAAAAAGAAAAAGACGCGTGAAAGCAGGTAATTGTCTATGGTGACATGTGACTCTAGATAAAAAAAACAACAATAATGAACAACAATACAATAAACAGACAAAATAAAAAAATAACGTTATTGTTAAGATTCTTTGGATCGACCAGGGAATTGATTGTGATTTGCATATACCTTTCTCGAGATAATTACGTTCGATATACGGTAAATCTCCACAATTCTGAAAGAATAATTAGCCTCTATGAAGAGAGTCACACACCAATCATACCATTTATATTATAAACAGTGTCAATAACGAACAGGCTCAGCTCAATACATTACTATTGTTGTTGCTGTTGTCGTTGTTGTTGATGTGGATGATGGTTATAATGGTAATTTTAAGGATACGGCTGTAGTATGATCTTTAAAATACGAAGGCCTTCTTCAAAGACCATCACGAGGCTTATGCAATAAATTTAAACGATTATTAATTAAAAGACCTGCAATTGTGAATTATGTACGTCCATTATGAGAAATATGATGAATAATTTATTCAGCTTTCAGCAAATATTTATTTAGCACATGAAAGCAAACCGAATGATAATTTGCAAACGCGTAAGTATTATGCCTCCTCCTTGGAATTGAAGAAAACTCAATTGTAGTCAAATTTATTCTTTAAAAACCCCTTTTAATTTAGCATAAATTAGCTTTTCCATATGTAATAATCAAGCAAGAAGTGGGTGTTGGCCTGGCTTTACGCTACACAGTGGGGGGAAAATATTTCAATTGGTATTTTTTTCCATTTCCCTTCTGCTTTTTGAGAATAACAGATGATGAGCTAGAGGAAACATCAGTGCACGACTATCTGTATTCAGATTAAATAGATTATGGAAAATAAATAATTAATTATTAATGTTTAAGTGTCTTATTTTTATTTGCTACGGTTCGTTTGATAATATTGAACGCTCTTTTGATTCATTTATAATTAACATCATACGCAGTTTAGGGTAACTGCAGAGCAAAATTAAAGCAATCATACTATTCTGGTAATATACGGTAACAGGGCTATATATTCTGTTACTGAAAGGCTATTTTACGCGTTATTATATATCGACAATTAATCATCTACATTAACTTTAGGCCATTAGCTAAATGTCTCACGCTTGGTATTCTGCATTTTGTTTCATTATCCGGAATCTGAAAGGCTATTTTATTCCCTGCTTAATTACTACATATTTACAAATATATGTTATGTAAATTTCAAGACATCACATTATTGCTGAGGTGGCAATTAACGAAACTGGGAATGTGATGACGGTTCTTTCTCTTATCTCTCCCTGTCCTTTCTCACATCTTTCCCTCATTT